TTATTACATGTTCATTTTAATCAATAACCATTAATGTGCAGAAAAGGATCTTTTCTGTTATAATTTAAATCTATTGCCTATTTAATACAATGTCAATTCAGATTTTTACTGAGACTTTTCACTAAGAGAAGAACTTCCACTAGTCATAGCCTTTCTTTATAGACTTTGGGAAGGCTTTCGAGTCAATATATCCTAAGGCAATAATATAAGCTCTAGCGAAACAAGGTAATGACAGGCCTTATATAGAACTCTAGCCAATATATACAGGGTTGTTCACCACATACGACACGGAGTATTGTAGCTAAACGATTAGATTTTTACAAATTATAAATTTTGGGTTCGTTGAAGGGCTAATAGAGCTACAATTTAAAAATATTTTTACAAGATACAGAGTGTCCCAAATAAGGGAAAAATATTATAGTTGTGTTTTTTTTTAATGGAACACCCTGTATATTATTCTGTTTTTAGGTTCTACGATTGAAATAAAGGTAAATTTGATTAAGGTTTATCACACTTAAACCTTACCGTTTTTTAAATATTTTCAATTTTATGAAATTGCAGTAAAAATTTTAAGGCTTTATTTCTCCATGGGTATCGAAGTTTTTAATACTAAATATTTACGGAAGTTTATTTATTGATCAGATATTTTGTTGCAATAATAAATAAAATACTTAAATCTTATACAGAGTGTCTAAAAATTTATATTAAATAATTACTAGCTCTAAACGACAATAACTTGTTTAATTTAAATGGAACACCCTTTATATTTTACGAGAATCAGATGCACAATTTAATTGTCTATCAAATTGTATTATACCTACCATTTTTTACCTATCTCTTCAAGTTTTCATAGAAGATGCATTTTAGATTACTTTAAAGATGTAAGTTTTGAAAGAGTATATACTAATTATTAAATAATATTGTCGATATATTTCGCTTATTTTATTAAAAGATAAAAACATTGTTTAAATATTTTTTGTTCAAGAATTAATATGATCCCATTATTCAAACTACATTTCTTATTGACTGTTTACGTGGATTAATAATAATTGCTCCAAATACTAAAAAATTGAATTTTGTGTGTGTATTAGACAATGTGGTAAAAAGTAACACCATATAAATTTTATTTAATTTCTTGACGAATGCTTATTTATAAAAACAGATGTTCATTTTCATAACTTATTATTGTATTAATTTTTAATCAAATGCACATTTATTTATTTTATTTTATGAATAATTCATTAATTAAAACAATTAAGTACGTAATTAACTAATTTTTTGGGCGGAAATAATGGTGGTATATTAATAATTAGTAATAATTGGTATCCTCTTTTACAAAGATTTAGATAGTTTTCTTTTTTTAAACAAATAGGCTTACAATATTATAATTTTTACCACCTGTATTGTATGAACATTTTGTACATATGTTGCTTTAAAAAAATTTAAAACGTCAATATTCCATGGGTATAGTGAAAAATGAGGTCTAAATTATAAAAAATGCATTTTCTACGAAAACTTCAAGAGATAGGTAAAGGATGGTATAATACAATTTCGTAGACAATTAAATAGTGAATCTGTTTCCGGTAAAATATACAGGGTGTTCTATTTAAATTAAACAAGTTATTGCCGTTTAAAGCTAGTAATTATTAATTATAAATTTTTGGACACTCTGTATAAGGTAGTATACTTTTTATTATTGCAACACAATAACTGATCAATAAATAAACTTCAGTAAATATTTAGTATTAAAAACTTTGATACCCTCGGAGAAATGAAGCTCATTTGAGAAAATTTTTACTGCAATTTTACAAAATTAAAAATATTTCAAAAACGGTAAGGTTTAAGTGTTACAAACCTTAATCAAATTTACCTTTATTTTAATTGTAGAAACTAAAAATGTAATAATATACAGGGTGTTCCATTTAAAAAAATACAACTTTGATATTTTTTTATTTATTTGGGACGCTCTGTATCTTGTAAAAATATTTTTAAATTGTAGCTCTAATAGTCCTTTAACGAACCAAAAACTTACAATTTGCAAAAATCTAATCGTTTAGCTACAATACTCCGAGTCGTATGTGGTGAACAACCCTGTATAAAGGAGCCAAAGCAAGAGTAATTATATATAAAACAAATCCAGAGTTTCCAACTGGTAAAGTACGACAAGGGGACGCGATATCACCAAAGCTGTTTCCAGCAACACTAGAATAAATCTTTCGTCAATTGGACCGGACCAATAAAGGGTTAAAAATACACTGTAAAAAAAAATGAGTGAAATTTCACTCAGATTTCACTCAATACTTTCTCAATTTCTGTCCACACCCGATTGAGTGAAATTTCCACTCTACAGAACCGAATGAATCTTCAATTCTCAGAGTGAAAAGCACTGAGTGTTTTCACTCAATCGAGATTAGACGAAAGACTCCTTTTACTCATTATTGTTTACCTTGAGTAGGATTTTGATCGATTTTGATAATTTATTCACTTTAAAATGAGTGAACTCACTAAGTGTTGAGTTCAAGACACCTTTTATTGAGTGACTTTTACTCAAATTTGTGTTACACTTAACTCGATTAGTACTCATATCTGAGTATTAATTTCACTCAGTATTGAGAAATATATTCTAAATTATTTTTTTAAAAGCTATATGTAAGCTAACTTGTTATTTTATAACAGGTGGGCAGGTGCCTTTCAAAGGTAAGTTTCAGTTTAGGACATGGTCTCGAACATGTCCATTTCCTAAAATTCACTTTTGGGAGGCATCTGGTCACTTGTAATAAAATAACAAGTTAGCTTACATAGCTTTTAAAAAAATCATTTAGAATATTTCGTTTTTTTTAACAAACCAAATAAAAAACTGTAGAACCTTCAAAAATATTTTTATTTGTCATTTTTATTTGACAAAAAAACAAATAAAACCAAATATAACACTATTATTATAATATCAAAAACATTTTAAAAAGTTTTCAACTCTTTTTGGAAAAAATACAGGAACTTTTTAAGCTAGATGTCTAGAAAAGTTGCATCACATCGCAAAAATCCGCTTTATTAAGAGCATTCGTCAGCTCGGCTACCAACATTCTCGAATATTTCTAATTTCTAAACTAACTTTTAATAACGAAATCCTCCGGAAAATCCAGATACTTTTCCTCCTGAAAATTAAAAAAAAATGTTATTCTGCCAAATGTTCCAGTTCCCAGTTCCAGATTGAGGGAAAGTACCTAGATTTTCGCTACGCTAATTAGTCCAGGAAACATCCGAGCATTGCGGCAATCAGTAGATGCAGTAGAATTTGAATATATGTTGGGCGGATTTCTGCGATGTGAAAAAAAATGTTCTTAACATAAAACATACTTAGGAGTTATGAGTTCGTATTCGCTTCACCACGCCACGCGGCCACTGTCACACTTTACATCACACACACATACACTATGGACTTGTAACCTGGGCACCTTCGAAGGAACAAGACAACCTATTTGTAGGACAAGACAACCTGATTCGAACGACTCGAACAGATAATTAAAAACTGAGGAACAGGGAAATAGCTTATTCGGTATCGAAGAAGCGCGTATGACGTATGATTAGTAATGAGCGAAAATACTCTAAACTGGGTGATTTAACTCAAATTTTTATTGTGTAAAACTATAACATGAGTTTTTAAGTGAATTTTTCTATTCCATTACTCAAAGATAGGGGTTATAACTCGAACATGAGCTTATTCAATAGCTATTGATTAAATAGAGATCATATTTGAGTAAAATGATGAATTTACTCTATTTTAGATAAAAATGTACTCAATTATTTCACTCAAAAAATTCACTCCCTGAGAAATATGTGTTCACTCAGGCTGATTTTTTACAGTGTATATGGAGAATATTATAACCATCTAAAATTCGCTGATGGTATAGTGTAATTGTCAATAGTCCTGAAGAGCTAAAAAGAAGTAGGTCTCAAAATGAATTTAGTAATGTTAGAACATTAAAGTAATGTAAGTACAACGAACTAGTAGACAGAAAAGACATTCTAATAAATAACACAACACTGAAAATAGTAGAAGTATATATATATAGTTGGGACAACTAATACACAGCTCGGGATCTCTACTACCAGAAATCAACCGAAAAATTAGGTTAGCATGTAGTACTTATGGAAGAAACCCAGTCATATTCAAATCTAGAATGCCACTTTGTATAAAGAAGAAAACATTCGACCAATGTGTACTACCGGTCATGACCTATGCGTACGAAACTTGAGCACTTAAAACGGACATTATAAGGAAACTGCAGGTCGCACTATGCTCAATGGAAAGAAATATGCTAGTAATAATCAAATCCCTCACGTGGCAATGGGCAGGACACCTGGCAAGAAGGACGGACAACAAATGTACGACAAAAATTACAGCATGGTACGATGAATTAAGAGACCTAGAAGAAGACCAAACCTGAGATGAGACCATGATATTAGGAAATTAGCAGGGATAACTTGGGCCCACATTGCGAACAATAGACATTAATAGATCCAATTACAAACAGAGTATCTAAATATGCGAGTGAGGCTACACCATAATTTGAAATAGATGAATAAGCTAAAAATGATGATGTTGATCATGATGATGATGATTTTTTCAATTATTGTTATACGCAATTCTAGTGAGCTTCAAGTTCGTTTATCGATCTTCGTTTGGAAACGAAGAAAGATAATAATTAAAGCTTGAATCAGATAGTAATTGAAGATTATGTCAAATTTTTGAAGAAAAGCTTCAATCGGAATCTTCATTATCCATCACTTCAACTTCAAGTGTGTCTTTTAACTCTATGGGTCATTAGAAAGTATACGATTCGGAAACTTCTCTTAATAGCTACTAACTTGAGAAAAACATCGGAAATAAACGTTTACTTCCGGTATATGTTCCGTGCGTATATTGTTTAATATGGAGAATGTGACATGTGTTTAAGAAAAACATTAAAAGTTTAAGAATTTAACGTAATAAAAAATATTACCTGAGTATAAACAAGCGGAACAGACACCGTGTCATATCCGATCAAAGAACCTAGTCGTCTTCTAATATCAGACAATTCGACCAATATAGTTTGGACGATGTGATCACTGGTTGTGAGTTGCTCTTTCCTCGCTCTGTTTATGAGATTGGTAGCCCAAACTAGCGGCATCCAATATTTCGACATCGGCGTTTTGTTGTCCATCAGCTCGAATATTTTCTTCTCGCTGTCCATCATTATACCTAGAACAAACAAACATATTTAATAAATATTGCAAATGAGTAATACAATTTACTTTTATTCTCATTTAGTCTTTTATTGTCATTTATAAAGGATGATTTAATTTTAAAAATTACAAAAAAGCACTCTTTATCTGCCTCATCATTATTAAAAAAACATAAAAATTAAAATCACTGGCACTAGCAAATTTCAGAATGATTTGAATTTAGAGCATCGGCAGTTTTCCAGCCTTGGATTATACTATATTAAAACCTACACATAGATAGTATAATCACAGCCCGAGTCACAGCCTATTCATAACAAGCCTGCCGACTTTGCCTGAAAGTTTGTGTACTTAAATATTCGCATATCTTATGTTATGTGACAATAATTCTAATTCTGAGCTAAATTGAAACTTCGGATAGAAATCCGGATACTCAAATACAAGCAAAGATGTGAAGCTTGTGTAACAAGCTAAGTGATAATATGATATTATCACTTAGATTAGACAAAGAAAATAAAGTCCTCCTATTCTGGGTTCCCGCTCCTTTTCTAGCTAGAACAGGAGCGAACACTCCACTAACAGGACCTGAACCGTTTTGCTTTCCAAGCGGAAACCAGCTTAAAGCGGAACTGAAGAACCTGTAGGAGTCCATCTGTAACCTGGAATGGGAATCCTCCAACGGTCTAAGACACTCGAACAAGTTCCTCAGTACTTACGACCGAGAAAAATCAACGATTTTCCTTGATTTAGGAAAAAACAATCTTCGAATTGTCATGGGGTTTCTAACAGGACTATGTCTCCTCAACGAACACCTCAGTAGATTGAAGGTGAGAAACAACGGCGAATGCAGATTCTGTGGGGAAAATGGGGAAATACCAGCACACCTTATCACTGAGTGCGTCGAGACGACAACCTTTCGTACCATAAACTTTGGTACCATTGATGTTGAAGATGGAGAGCTGGCCTCTGTGGAGCCGTCTCAGATATTGGCTTTTTTTTGTCAAAGCCCTGAGACTGTACGATGAGTTAAAACCCGTTATAACTAAAGAAATGGGAACACACAATATGTAAAGAGAGAGAGAGAGAGAGAGAGATATGTGTTAAAGACGCATCGACTGTAGAGACTTTTAGCGTCACTTTATCCCATTATTTATATATTTTTATATATGTCGATATCCTTTATATAATCCAACATATCCTTGTTATTTTGGAAGGAAAGGGCTACCTCAGGGTTATCCACGATACCGCGTTGTCTTCGTTTTAACGCGTACTTTGGGCATTAAAAGATAATGTGTTTGACAGATATTGGAAGATTACATGTTTCACAAATGGGCTGATTCTGTCCTTTAAAGAGGTGTTCATGGGTAAGTTTCGTGTGTCCTAAACGAATTCTAGTGAGCACAACGAAATCTCTTCTAGGTAAGTTAACTACATTATTTTCAAAATAGTCCCTTTTGATTTCATGAAGCTTATTATCATTCATGTCTAAGTCCAATGACCTCTAAATAAAGTAGACCCGGCATTTCATTCATAAAAAGAGAAAGATCAGAATCAGACATTCGTTTCTTGTTCTATGCGAGTGGGAACAAGACGGGCTGATCGCAGTCATGAAGGATTCCCGAGAGAATGGCAACGCTGTTCAGAGATCTTGAGAATATGTGCCAGTGGCGTAGTTACTTTGATTGTAATATATAATTTCATATTATATTCTCGTAAATATGATTTTTGGATACGATATATTGTTGTGCTAGATGGCTCTTCAAATTTTAAAAACGACTACTTCTATACTCCAATCACTTGTATACGAAAATAACTAATTGAAATTATGATATGCACATTTCCATAGTAATGTCTCTAAATTGCTCCAGTAGTAATATAATCCATCAAGCGTTCAATGAATACGAGCCGAAGACGACTTTTAGAAAACTTTTATGTGAATTAATGGTGTTATTTTGATTGAAGCAACGGTGAAAAATGAGAATATTTTAAAACTGTCGTGACGAATTGCACTTTAATATTAGGTATAAAAATATTACTATTTATAACAACAATAATAAAGATCTTTGTTAAACAAAAGAAAATTTCTAAAATATTTACTTATTTCTGGATCAGTTTCTTCGCTGATAATCGGGACCTTGTACTGAATAAATAATTAACTATTCAATAAAACATATCAAACAAAGACGCATTCATCTTTTAAACTATATAATTTTTTTTAGTCTTAAAACAAAAAAACAAAACAAAAAAAACATTCCTCTATTACAAAAATTATACTATCAAAAAAAACGGCGTCAAAAATGACAATCGGTGATAATTTTGGCAAGGTGATATGTCATGACCCCTACTCTTGTTTATTTTTTAATGACACTTACTGGCAGTAGTACGCCTTAAGGTTGTATTTTATTTTTAAATGGTGTAATATAGATTCGACAAATTTTTTTTGGATATCGATTTGTGTTTCTGGAACCGTTCTATCCTTTTATAATTTTTCTATAATCAGTATTAGTTTTATGTCAATTTTTAATAAATGACATCTAGAAATAGACCTCGCCAAAATTATATTCGATTGTTATTCCTATCAGTCTTTGACGCCGTTTCTTTTCGATCATACGGTATTTAGTATTTAATATCCATTATATAAATCTATTTTGATTTTACACTTAAAAAATCATCTTTAATAATTAAAAATCCTAATAGCAATCAGTATGATCGAAAAAAAGGCGTCCAGATGGCTTAGAAATGAACATCGATGACATTCCCCATATACGCCGTTTTTTTTTCGATCATATGGTATATCACTATTGAACATTTTTCGTAATTGTGACATCTTTAATTTTTTTATACATTTTTTCAACAAATTAATATTCGCATTTGTATACTTGATTTTGATAATATTTAAATATTATGATCAAGATATTCAATAAAACCAAACGTGACGAAACTAACTTAATGTAATGGTTCGTTACTTATAACGGTATAATCCAAAACTGGGTGATTTACTAATATTTCCAAAGATTTTTTCCTATTTTACCTTTCGGCACCGCACTGATGTAACATAGCCTTAGTCACCTTCGAAATCAAACTTCTAGGTTTAAATCGTCTCTATTTTTGCAAATTAAGCACAAAACACTAAAATATCTGGAAATCACCTCATAAAACATTTCGAAAAACCACAACACATTGGCAACGCCGTAAAGCAATTTATGAACGAATTCGAACTGGATGTTTTGTTGGCTGCCTGAATTTAGGAGTAAAGATAGTAAAATGCGTACGTTTTCAGTATCAGCTGGCGTTGCGACGTTGTCGATTGTTTTATGTTAAATTTCTTAAAATCTAAAAATTATAATTACAGAAGATTTAAATAACGGCTAATGCCGATTGGGAGTAGTTCGTGATACTAGGCTAGGCTACCTTTAATTATTATCGGTTTAAAGTATTCTACGACGTAATCTATATTTGGAATTCCTGGTTTACAATGTGGGTTAGCTATCCCCGTATATATATATATATATATATATATATATATATATATATATATATATATATATATATATATATATATATATATATACTTTTAAATGCGGTCGAAGTGGAAATTTGGCATACATGCAATTTTCTAAGGCAATGATGGATTTCGCCAAAATGGGTAAGTCGCCGGGTCTAATTTATTTCGATGTCATTGTCTAAGTCCCATCCCATGTTTGCCGTAATTCTTTAGATCTTGCACGGAGAAAACAAGGTTGGTTTTATGAGGGTTGGGAGTTTTTGCAGCCAAGTAATCAGCTCTATCATTGCCAGGAATTCTTATGTGGCTCGAAATGTAAAAAAACGCACATGTATTTTTGATAAATTATAATGTGAATATAGATGTCAAATATCAAGACGAGAAATACTTTCATTCTTCATTTCTTCATTCTTCTATCGCAGCTTTTGGAAATAGATGAGTGATGTTTCTAAACATTTTAAACATATATAAATAATAACCTTAAGGTGTTTTTGTTCAATTGTGCATGGTTCAGTACAAATCACTTTTTTAAGAGAATTGGTTAAGTCCATGCAAAATTATAAAAAAAAAGATTATTCATCGACATCGACTTGTCGCCAAACAAAAAAAACCTACTTTAGAGGTGTAAAAAATTACCATATTTCCTGTGTATTTCAATCACTGTTAATGGTAAACGTAATGGTAAACCCACTATTTATCAACAATAACAAAATAACCGTGCAGAGCTATTTCAATACCGAGAATATATCATCGAGGAAGCAAATTGTTCTTTGAAATATTGATTTACATCAAATGCTATTTCACCTTTGCAAATACTCTTGGTTATTTCTTGTTACATCAGTAACAGCAAAACTTATTTTAAGTTTATTCTGTAATTAGCAATATAATTTAAAGGTCGCCATAATTTATTTTCTTTAATATATGTAGAATTTTTAAACTGAAAAGTAAATTAATGTTGCTATTTTTACTCATCAGACAACATTATTCCTATTAATACTAACATAACATAAAATACGTTATTCATAGTTTACACTGTGCAGATTTAGTTAGAAATCGAATTAGTGATTTTATTCTTTTACAATAATTATGGTAAGTGTTAAAATGGAGAGAATGAATAATAAACAGTTGAAACCAAAGCAATCAAAACTCATACGTGCAACTTTTGTCGACTGGATATTCAGTTACCGGTAGCGGCTAGACAATTGTCTGATTGTATTATTTTCCATTAAATAGATGATGAAATTTAGAGATTTTTAATTTTTTCTTCCTTTGTAGGCCAAACTCTCATTAAAATTCTAAATTTGAAGTTTGTAATGATGAGATGTCGATGAGAGAGTAGTCTTGGTCTTATTAGTCTTGCTATTGCAGTATCCAGGCTTGGTCTTGCCGCAAGACTCGTGCAAGTCCTGCATTTTTTAATAAGTTTTTACTAGAGGCAATTTCTACATAGGAAATATTTAAATAAATACCTTACGGTAGTTCCATTAGGGTGAAGAGTACTAACAAGGTTCCAT